AAGTGTCGCAAAATATGTAAGAACAAGCGTAATATAATTTGACTGAAATCAAAAATAGGCATGTTTTTCCATCAAGCCTGGGTCTTCAATATGTTTACCATTAAATTCAAATTTCATTTTAGAAAATTCAGCGGCCCTGTGTCCGGAAAATATGTCTTCTTATGCAAAAGGAGATGTGTAATCAAGGAAAACATTGCAGAAGATTTGGGAGATCAGGGAGTTTTTTTTCGCCACTAACTGGACATTTTACTTTGAAAGTGTCGCAAAATATGTAAGAACAAGCGTAATATAATTTGACTGAAATCAAAAATAGGCATGTTTTTCCATCAAGCCTGGGTCTTCAATATGTTTACCATTAAATTCAAATTTCATTTTAGAAAATTCAGCGGCCCTGTGTCCGGAAAATATGTCTTCTTATGCAAAAGGAGATGTGTAATCAAGGAAAACATTGCAGAAGATTTGGGAGATCAGGAGGCATTTATCTCTGATGGTTGAGGAGGTTTTAAACAGTTTGTGACTGCATTCATGAGTAAGAACCTCAGTCAAACAGGACAGTAGTGCCACTGTCGACTGAAGAAAGTAATGGAGCTATAAAAATTATGAAAGGTTACAGAGGTTATTATTAGTCTTAAATGCAATCATAATGCAGTTCCACTAGTACTGGAATCAGTACAAAGAGTGTTATTCATAGATAGAAATACTAACATATATAATGGTGCCTTTAGGTGTACCTGGAAGGCTTGTATCTCAGAGTTGAGTGTTAGTTATTGCAACATGTCATTTCTATCACATATTTATGTGTGGTATCACAACTGTTTTTGTTACATAAAGCAAACTGTGAAAGTTGAGTGATTCATTTTGTACCATTCACTACAGACATGCTTTCTGCTCACTGATCTCTATATAGATTATAGATATATTTTATTGTAACTGTGAGCGTACAACGGAGTAGGGGATTCAAATGCAAGCTTTATTAAATAGAGCATAGTCAGAACAGGCATGGTCAAACACCAGCAAAACATCAATATCCAAGGCAAGACAAAAGAGTAATCCAGAAAACAGGCAATGGTCAGGCCAGGCAGCAAACAATAAAAAAAAACAAGGAAACAGTCAAAGGTCATGGAACTAAGGCAAGGCAAACAAGGAAAACAAGGTACACTGAATGGCTAAACAATACCCAGCCAACTGTGTGTGTGTATGAGTGCAACTTAAATAGTCCCACTGATAGGAAACAGGTGAGTCCGTAATCAGTTCCTAGGCAGAGGTTTCTGGGAAATTGAGTACAGGGTGAAAAGGTGATGGAGACCTCAGGTGGTGAGTGGGAGGAACAACAAGGACTGGATACATGACAGACACCCCCACCCCCTCTCGAAGGAGCGGCTTCCAGATGCTCCATGAACAACATAGTCCAGGTGGGTTGTGGAGCGGAGGCGGAACGGGGGAGGGATAGAGGGCCAGGTCCATGTAGTGGAGGACCTAGAGACTGAGGCAAAGCCGGCGGAGCAGGAAACCAAGGCGGAGCTGGCAGAGCAGGGAGCCAGGTCGGAGCCAGCAGAGCTGAAGACCACCAGGGCGAAGCTGAAGACCACAGATCAGGCAGAGCGGAAGACCACCAGGGCGGAGCTGAAAACCACTAGGGCAGATCTGAAGACCACCACAGATGAGCAGACGGGACCAGAGATCTCCACGGCAGATCAGAAGAGACCAGGGATCCCCACGGTGGAGCAGAAGACCACCACGGCAGAGCAGCTGGGACCGAAGACCACCAAGGCATAGTCTTGGACCACCAAGATGGAGCAGGTGGAGCTGATGTTAACCACGGAGGAGCCGAAAGCCCCCAGGGCAGATTTGAAAGAACTAGAGACCATCACTGCTGATCAGGCAAGACTGAAACATAAAAGCACAGAGAGGTCAGCGTTGGCCACAGGGGCTGTGTCATGGAACTTAGAGTGTTCGTAGTCAGCCTCTGCGACAGGAAACTCAGAGAGTTCACAGACAGCCTACAAGACAGTGACAGGACAGAGAGAGAGATCATAATTGGCTGTAAAAGGACAGGCAGAGAGTTCACAGATGGCCTCCTTGGCCATGACAGGACAGGCAGAGAGTTCACAGATGGCCTTCTTGGCCATGACAGGACAGGCAGAGAGTTCACAGATGGCCTCCTTGGCTGTGGCTGGGTAGACAGGGAGTTCATAAGTGGGCGTCACCACCTTGGGAGTTTCTGCAGCGGAACCCACCACCTCGGGAGGAACTGGAGCGGGCTCTGAAGTAGGTTCATGGGCTGGAGCGAGCTCTAGAGCAGATTCATGGACTGGAACGGCACTGGAGCGGATTCATGGACTGGAGTGAGCTCCGGATCAGACTCAAAGATTTGAGCGGGCTCTGGATCAGACTCAAAGATGGGAGCAGGCTCAGAAGCGGACTTATGGACTGGAGCAGGCTCTGGAGGAGTAGTAGAGCAGTTTGTAGCCCAAGCACTCAAGATGGTTACCGCTATAACAGGAAACACTGAGGATAGGGGAATAGTCTCTGTGACAACCAGTGCTCAGGCCCTTGGGATGCCATCTGATCTGGCTGAAACCAGCAGTTTTTCTGTCAAACTGGAGATCAGTCTTGGTTGCCTGGTCACTGTCTTGCTAACTTCAAGTGCATCATTCATAATGGCTGGGAACACTGGCATGTAGTCCATGACGGCTGAAGACTGTGACATTATGTCCATGACGGCAGGAAACTCTGGTGTGGCGGTCATCCTGCGGAGAGGCTCTGGACTGGCGACCATCCTGTGAAGAGACTCTGTGCTGGCAGCCATTTTATGAAGAGACTCTGGGCTGGCGGCCATTTTGTGAAGAGACTCTGGACTGGTGGCCATGTTGGGACGAGGCTCTGGAACGGCGTTATCTTATTAACTGGCTCAGGTAACAGAAAACACGGGATTAGCAACCATTATCACAGGACCAGCTGGTGGCCATGATGGGCCAAGCTCCATGGCCACTGGAGCTTGCCGATGTTGTATGTATGTATTCCCACCATATTTCAAATCAACATGCACCTTTCAACTTGTGTATTATCTAAAACTCGGAGTTTCCCACATTTAAATATGACTTTGCTTGGTCATTTATGTGCTCAGAACTCGTAAGTATGATATTTCCGACTCTGCTAGAAGGGCACATACATAAGACATCCCATAACAACATAAAATACATAACAATGATACAGTGAGCCAACTACAGTATTTAAACAGTATTGCAAGCCATCAAATGCACACTCCTGACTTGAGCATGGCTATTGGAAAAGGCTTTCACATTCTAAGGTTATAAAGTATGCCAATTTACCCAACTAGGTGCTCACTAGGTTTCTGAACAGAGCGAATCTGTCAAAAAAAAAACACCGGAATAAGGCTTTTTATGAAATGTTATGAAAGCTGTGACATTTTCTTTTCAGTTTGTTAAAATATCACGTGCAAGAAGCAGATGTCCATGTGGCTTTTTCCTGACCTTTCCACATGTCCCTGGAGCCTATAGAATCATTATTTGTTCTTTTCACATAAAACATGACTCGTATGTGGGTTGCACAAATGTGTTAGATTTTATGCCAGCTATGACAAAACAAATGAAATGATCTCTCGGTTTAAATGTGCTAAGCCCTCTACAGATGTGCAGCCATATTATGAGGGAGGAAAAACAATTCCATTATCAAGATTCCAGAGTCGTGATGGGATATGCTAGAGGGAATGGCAATCCGTTATATAAGCCTACACATTTTTTTACCAGCCTGTTTCTACAATAAATAAAATTTAATTCCTATTCACAACCAACTTAGAGGACTAGGAGTTTCTCCCTTTCCCAGAGGTTGTCAAGTGACATTAAGAAAAGACAGTTCCCATGAATTTAGCATCTGATATAAGTCATTATAGCAAAAGACAGCAGAGTGTATATAATTTGTTAGTTCCACACTTATGTTGTAGGGAGTATTTGGTTTGGCAAATGTGCAACGAGGTTTTACCCATCTGTATTGCATTATGGTAATTGCTCTTTTTTTATAACCCAAATAGTCAAGCATTCACTATATAAACCTCCCAGAAAAAAGAAAAAGAAAAAAAAAAAAGGTCATAAAAGTTTTGGTGTTTTGGGTCAAGGTGCTGTTTATACCTGGGGATTTCAAACAGTGGATACATAGAGCTGTACACAGACTCTTAGGGAAGAAAATAGCACGCTACCTAACAAGGGGGCAGTGAAGATATACTTGCATGCAGATGTTGTGAAAGGAGGGTTATACAAGGTAAAAGATAGTGTTACATGTGCAAAGTTATAAAAGGTTTTGACTCGGATCCAAGTTTTGTAAGCACTTTCTGACAAAGGATGTATCATTTTCTAGCCAAGTTTTCCCAAAAACTCATATTTGTCTCTTTCATTTTGCTGTTTTATAAGAAAGATTGGGTATTCTGGTGTGTTATGGAATAATTCTAATGAAAAACATTCTCCAGAATAACTGTTTTGTCCTATTTCAGCAATCATAGAATTCTGTGGTCAAATATTTTTGTATAACGACACTAAAAACTTGCAGTCGTCTCCTTGCAAGACATTCCTACATAGCTGTGCTAGTTTCATGTTTTCTGCAGCACCTTGATCTCTCGTTTCTATTATATAATGAAGCAATTTCAGTTCAAATTAAAATTTCATGTCCATTTATTTACTTTTTTTGGTAAGTTCTCTATAAAATATCCTTTTAAATTACGGTAGAAAAAAAAAGGCAGCTGGAGCGATATATATATATATATATATATATATATATATATATTGGAAGCTTGTGATATTGGTAGGCTAACATTAGCACTGAGGACCTGGTGTACAACTTTACTGACAGTCTGACCAAATCTAATCCAGTCATAGAATTATACAATTAGAATTGTCTTCATTCTAGAATTTGGTTGAATTTTATGTAGTTCTTTTGCTCTACCAAATTGGTATAAACCGACTCTTTGTTTGCCATGTGTTCTTCAGGCCACGAGGAGAATCCAGATAGCCTCCGGCACAGATATAACTTCATCGCTGATGTGGTGGAGAAGATCGCTCCAGCTGTGGTTCACATTGAGTTGTTCCGCAAGTATGTATCCTGAATCACACACTCCATTAATCAATGATCTCATGTCTCAGAGAGGACATCTTTATCAGGACTTTGACACAAAACTTTCTGAAAATAAGGCTCCTTACTATGGTTCCATGAAGAACATCAGTAGCAACAGTGGAATCTTTCCATTGCACAAAAAGTTCTTTAAAAGTTTGTTTAGATTATTAAAATGCTCTTCACACAAGAAAATTAAAGGTTCTTTTTTTAAAAATGGTTCTTTGAAAGTTTTTTTACGGAACCCAAAATGGATCTTCTAATGCCATCTCTGCAAAAACACCCTTTTGGAACATTTATTTTTGATAGTGAACGTGATCAATTTGAATTTTGTTCTCGTACTCTTTCGCTGCCATCTTTATGAATCAACACTGGGCAAAATAGATATTTCCTCTTGTTCTGTCTTTTATTAGCCCTCTATCATAAATATGAATAGAATTACTTCCAAGTAAGCAAAATTGCATCCATATTGGCCCTAAAACAACATTCTTATCAGCTAATAATTTCTCTAATTTTTGGGAGAATGTTGAAAGGTTGATGTATGATTAATTGACAAGGATGTTGTTCCAGGAACATGTTTCTCATGGATAAATCATGTTGTGCGAGTTTAAGTGTCAAGCGCTTCATAAAAATATTTTTATGGCATGATCCACTAAGCTTTATCCTCATTATAGAATATTAACATTGTTTTAAAGTATCTGATTGGATGTTTTTTTTCACACTCGAATATAGATACTAATAGATTGAATATCTAAATTAAATATCATGATATCATTGCATAAGACACAGTTTGTGGGATGTAGAAAACAGCCAACCTCAATTATAGGCTGTTGAAATTGTGCAAAATGTAAAAAAAATTAATAAATCTGGCGAACTGTCATGTTTTCCACAAATCACTTGTCAGAAGAAGTTCCTCCTTGGTTTCAAATCTTGCTGGAAAATATAATCACGTCAAGGATGTTGAGAAACCATCATTCTTTGCTGTTCCTCTGTGGAAAGTAGACTTACTGCATTATGAAAAGGTTGCTCATAAAGAATAATCTTCAAAAACCTCTTCCCTTTTCTTTTTTAGAATGATGTTCACCAAGCGGGAAGTGGCGGTGGCCAGCGGCTCTGGTTTCGTGGTGTCTGAAGATGGCCTGATTGTAACCAATGCCCATGTGGTAGCCAACAAACACCGGGTGATGGTCGAGCTGAAGACCGGTGTCACCTATGAAGCCAAAATCAAAGATGTGGATGAGAAAGCAGACATTGCTCTAATCAAGATAGACGCTCCGGTAAGCACCTGCCCATATCTGTTCATATAGTATATCACACTCAGGACTTTTTGATATCACATATAAAGTAAAACTCTCAATCTGTTCCAAAATCTAGTGAGATGCCTGCATAGGTAGGATTTTAGGGCATCATACCTTCGTTTGTCCAAATTCTAGGGCAGCATTAGATGCATCCTTCATGGAGAGAACAATCCCATAATAAATAGCAACAAGCTCAGTGGAAAAATTCATCTAAGATGATGGATAAGGCAAGAAAAATGGCAATTCAATAAATATTTAATACCAAAAAATATAGTTTAGAATAGTCTAAGCTATCACTAGCAGTTGACAGTTTTACCCAATTTTTGTGTGTGCTATGAATGTAATGCTTATTAGAGTATCACATAATTAGCTTAGCAATAAGCTAATGCCAAACTCCATTGAAATAAATTGCTGTGCACTTTTTGAAGAGACTATTTACGCATTTATGATGTCTTTATGAGTTGGGTGAATTCAGGGTTGTGCATGTGCATTCAACTTATAAATAGGATATTTCTGACATGACTTGAATGCACCATATTTACGTGACATACACAGATGAGCACTCCAGATCAGTCACTTACGAGATTCCATTTCAGATAGAATGCTGACTTAGAAGACTTGTTTTGGAACGAAGCTTCAGTTATTCACTTTCAAGAGATAGATAACATGCCCAGTCTTGTTGAATTAGCATCTGAGATTGTTTCTAAGATGTAACGTCTTCAGCGATGAATTGTTAACGAAATTCATGACATTTTTTTCCCCAGAGTAAGCATAGAAGTGGGCAGAATATGCTCTGAGTATAATGACCCTGTTTTAAAGGAAGACACTCTTCCTGATACAGAAAAGACAGATCCAGATAAGCCATGTTGAATTGCTCCACTAAACAAGCCTGGCTCCACACCCAGGCAGAGTCAGAAAAAACATGAAGAGACCATTTTGACTTACAGTAATTAAACCCGAAGCAAGGGATTTTATTAGAGTTGCACATATAACATTAAATTCCATTCACAGCAAAAAAAAAACACATTACACTCAGAGTGGAAAAATACGATTTTGCACAAAAAAGTTCAAATGTTATACAGCCGGGGGGGGTGGAATCGTGATCGATTCCCCTCGATATAAATCGTGTTCGGTTTTATAATGCATTATAATGATAGGTTTAACCATGCATAGGTAAGTATTATTAAGTATAATAAATGTGTTAAATTATAATTATTTATAAAAAATATCATTATTAATTTTTTTTATGAAAAGCATTTATTTTTTTTGTAAAACATGAACAATACCTTTATAAAAATAAGTAATAAAGTACTGAAAAAAACTGAATGACTACTATATATTTACAATGCAACGCAGTCTCAAGTGCCTTAATGCTTTTATAAAGTGGTTGCTAAATAAAAAAGATTACAGATGCAAATTTTCTTTGAACATTCATGAAGTGTCATCCTTCCACTAGAAGATATACAGTAACAGTGGCCTTTCTCGGTGCTGCACAGAGAGATACACAGTAGCTGGTTTCATGCCATACAGTAGGTGTAAATATGTTGTGTATTTTAGTACGACTGGAATGCTGTACTGACCAATCAGCACCCAGGACCAAAACTATCAATTTCATAATGTGTAGTATATTCAGGCTTTAAGTAAAGTGTTAAAATTGTCATGGGCACATCATCTCTTCAGGTAATAGTGCAGTGGTTAAAAATAGTATATGTAGTTATATATAATTCAGATTGATTTTATTTATTTTCTTAAAAATATACTAAAGACTGCATTGCACTAAAAAAGGCCAAGGCAGCACTGACCCAGAAAGCTTATGACCACAAGTGACACTGGATTTACTTAACAATATGCATAGTGATACTGTTTGTTAGGGTTTGGTAACAGTTACCGACTCTTATGCTGGCAGACAGCAGTGCCACGTCTCTGTAATTCCTCCCCGGACTCTCATGCATAACTCCCCCTTCCTCTCTGGCTCAGGTTCTGCTTAGTCACTGCCGTACTGTGAATAATTTATATTGAGTAACTGTCTCATATTCTTTTCAGCTTGACTTTCATGGCAGACGGTCAGTCAATTTTGGTCTCTGTCGCCACTGAGAATTCCATGTCAGAATTCCTCTTCATATTTAGAATTATATGACAGAACAGACGTGGGAAAGGTTCAAGCTGTTTAAATATGCTGCAGGGTTGATACAGCGATCACCTTGTTTGTCTGGTTATTTTTGGACAGAAGTCATTTTCAAGCTCATTACAGATTATTTACGATGTCAGACGGCTCTCAATGTATCCCCTCCCTGGAAAACTGCCATAGTTTCTACGCTTGTACCTGTTCTTTCTCAGGGTTGCTCACTTCGCTTTTCGATCTAATCTGATTTCTTGTTTTCTTATTCCCACCAAATTAGCCAATTCCTCAAACCAGAGAGAACATTGCAGCCTAAATCAACATCATTTCACATTCCAAAAGCAGCTTGACGGACTTGTTGACCTTGTTTTAGACAGCTTGTTGGATGTAATGCACTTAGACCTGTATCTTGCATCTGCATTTAAGCAGCCAACAGTATTCATTATGTTCATTGCAGTATTCGTTACAGTATTCATTCAGGCTGCATTCATAAGCACTGAGAAACTGCGTAGCAGCGTCACAGAAGCAGCACTACAAGTATAGTTAAGTGCTTTGCCTATTTTTGCTGTGAGTGGCACATTGAATTCAGCAGAAAATAGAGTGAAAATGCACTGTAGACCAAATTATGAACTCAGATTTTGTATGTTTTTGTGAAGCCACATAAAAATGGAGGGAATAACTCATCCATTGTTTGAAAAAAGCCATCTGCTGATCTCAATGCAGGTTCCACATACAATGACAGGCTCACAAAGCTTTTTATATTCAACAGCTCTGACTAACCCACATGATTTTAGCATTTTGTAGCATCAGTTTGAAGTTTGGGTTTATTTGCATAAACTGTAGTACGTTTCATGATCAAGTTTATAATAGTAAAGGATCAGTATTCTTATTGGTTTCAGCCATTGGTAGAATTGGTATCCATTTTTAGCTGTTGGTATCAGTCTGAGAAAGTTAATAATGGAAGCAGATAATATTGTGTACATTATCATATTTTTTAGATATGCTATCATTTTATTATTATTTTCTTTAAATCAAGTATTATTTAAAGGTGACATATCATGAAAATCGGACTTTTCCAGGTTTTATGTGCTATGATCAGGTCCCCGGTGCATCTACCAACCAAGGAAACGTGAAATAGGTTAACCCAGTAACTTTGTTTAGGTAAGCCTTTTTCTGCAAGCGTCTGAGAAAACGAGCGCGTCTGATTTCGCTCCCTTGGTGACGTGGCAAAGATTCTGGAAAAGGGGGCGGGGAGCAGCAGCTCATTTGCATTTAAAGAGACAGGCACGAAAAACAGCGTGTTTCTGCTTCCACTCAAAATAGGCATTTTCAAAATGATATAATAAATGATCGGTGGGGTATTTTGATCTGAAACTTCACAGACACATTCTGGGGACACCAGAGACTTATATTACATATTGTAAAAAGAGGCATAATATGTCTCCTTTAAGGTAAGACATTACAGGCAAAAGTACTGTTTTTTTTTTTCAGGCAGTAGGAAATTTTGAGATTTTGGCCTATTTTGCTTCCATAACTTGTCTTTTTTTCAGGCTATAGTGGAGAGAAAACATCCAAAATACACATTTAAGTGTCTAGTTCATTTTCATTCAATGTCATTCACACTTTATCTATTTTTGTATAAAATACATATAAAGTATGTATATATAAATACATATTTTATCAAAATCTTTTTTTTTTTTCATGCACTGAGCCAGAAATCTCCACTTGAGTAGCACTTACATACACAATAATTTCCTGATTTATTATATATTTACTATATTCTGAAGGTTTTTACTGATGCGTTTGTACATTTGTACAAGTATGGTGGTATCTTTTTTACCTTATTTTTATCCTATTCACTTTGTAAATTAATTGTCAATTTAAATGTATTATTATTATTATTATTATTATCAGTCAAAAAATACTAAACATATGCCAGATGTACTAGAAAAGTACAATGAAACATAATTTATCACAGAACATTGATTATTGGTCATTGCTTGAAAGTAAATGATCAGTATAGCCACACATACTGTATAATATCTCTAAATTTCTAGTTATGCTGTGGTGCAGGGCCACATAACAACTGGACTTTTCCACAAAGTGGGGGACTGTGATGAATGCCCAAGAATCGTGGCCCTGCTGCTGCTATAACTTGCTCCAGATGCAGGATGTGTGAGACAGGCCTAACCTTGGATGAGAAAAGCATACCCTGCGGAGATGCAGAAGAAAACAGATGCCAGTAGAGCATGTTAGAGCATGTTACTCTTTGAGTTCCAGTTTGTATCATGTAAATGTTATAGACAGGTCTCGACAGGCCACATCAGGGTGAGAGGGGTGAGGGTAAATATCTGGTAAGGATGACTAACAACACTGAGTCATTTGCATTTAGATCTGGGTCATGATCCTTCTGAAACATTAGTGTACGTGTGTGAATGTTTAAAAGGATGTGTATATCTACTGTTTATAAGATCTGGGTCACAACGCAAGCTTTGGCAGGAGGGAGTGTGTGTCAGGATGCATTTCCACTCTAGGTCTGAGAGTACAGAGCTGTCTTTATTTAACAGCTGTTCTTTTGTCCACCAAACACGTTGCTCGTAGATGAAATAGATAGATCTATTAGATGGTTGTTAGTGAATTCATGCACATTCAGGAAGTTCTGGTTTACAGATTTATTTAATATCAGTAATGCATGGTTGCACACAAGAGTCACGAACGTGCAAAACATGCAACATAAATTATTAACATTAACTGAGCAAAAATATGCGATTTAATGCAGTTGCTGATATTTATATGGCCAAAAAGTACATTTAGAATAACAGACTACTTGCATAAAATACATACTGTAAAAATATCAGTT